CATAGTTTGCCTGCCCCCGATGTAAGTTAAAGCACCGTTCAGAGTGCATAACTGAACAGTTGAGTGTAGAGGATTTATTTAAGGAGTATTAATTTGATGCTGAGCTGTCCAGGGTGCCCATTGGCTGGGGTACCTACATTTTACTCTGGTGACATTTCTAATCTAAAGATCATGGAAGTGAGAAGAAAAATTCGATCGTGGCTGTGGACGAGAATAATATGGAAAAGTTTCTTTGCAGTTCTGTTTTGGGCCTGCACCATAGCGGATGCCGAGGTAATCTGTCAGTTTGTGAGTGTCTACAAAATGCAACTCTCTAGATAACAGGTTTAAAGTAAAGATTTAATACAGTCTCCATCTCCTATGATGTTGCAGTGACAGTTTAAAACTCATTCTCTAAATCTCAGCAGACTTTATAGCTAGCAGTGGGCCAATATAAAGTTTAATAGCATTACAGCGCATAAATCATCTTTTAAAGATGCTACTAGTAGCTCCAATATTAAATGCAGACAATCGCCTGTGTTATAAATAATTTATCAAACACCATTTCAGATTAGCCTTCCATGCTGAGTTATTTATTTTAGCCTTTTCTGTACGATTCCTAAGGCACTTTTTGAAAGATCCATTACTGGTCAGTTTAATGAACTTGGGGGTCTGTTTTGTCCCCTCAAGCACTCGGGTACAGCTGTGGTGACCATTACATGGCCGACGTGGACCTCTTTGTGCCTTTTACAAGTGCTGCCCATTTGTCATGTAGCGGTAAATGGAGCTGCACATTGGAGTCCAGGGACACATTGTGCGATGCAGTGATGGAGACAAACAGATAGCTCTATAAAGTGCTGCTTGTCACAGCCGACTTGCAGTGCAGTACATCACTCTTATTGTAATCTCATTTAAGAAGCAGGGATGGCTCGGGGGACTGATATTCCCAGTTAGTTTGGTCTTTGTAGCCATAAAGCAGGAAGTACCCCTTTTATATTCTCTGAACTTTTAGGGAGTGTGCTTTTTTGCTTGGATTAATTATTAGAGGAACTTCTCCACGGCACTGTGTGAAGATTTGTCAGCAGGTTTGTTTGGACCTCCTTCTCCTGGCCTGGGCTTTAGTATAGGCAGTCACTGCATAGAAATAAAGTGTGTCTCTAGGAGCCCTCTGGCTCGCTTTATTAAATTCAAGTTACCATTTATTTATTAAGCAGCAGCTACGTGCCAGGTACTCTAGAAGGTGCTATCTATATTTTATTTCTGTTTGCAGCAGTTTTGTGATAAATCCTAATTTATCAACACTGTCTTACAGAGGAGGAGAGTGAGCTCAGAGAGGTGAAGTGACTTGCCCAAGGTTGCACAGCAATAAATAGGAAACGGGGGTTTCAAACGCAGACTGTCCGCCTCCACATCTGCTAGATTACCTTGAACCTGGGTCTCTCAACTAACTCGATCCCCAGGGTCGTGGTGGTCTTTCGGCTGAGTGTCACACAGTAAAAGGAAGGTGCCATTGTCCTGGAGGGCTATTTTTCTGGTAGTCAGGATGAGCCCTACTGGTCCATCTCTACACCGACTCCAGGGTCCCCTGTGACTGGCAGTGCAAATCTCTGAGCAGCTGGCCAGGGGAGGACGCTGACCCCTGCAGTGGGAGAGCATCGCACCTGGGCCTGACCAGCTGGGGTCACGGGCTCTACAGGGCCCTTGTCAGAGCCCCTCTGTAGCAGCTGTCTCCAGGCAGATGCTGCTCAGAACTCAGGTCACTCTGCATCTTCCAAAAAAAGGGAGGTGCAGTTTTGCTGTGAGGAAACAATGCTTCCTGCGTGTATTGTGGGCCAGAGACAGATACAAATGTGGTGTTTCCCCTACCTCTTGCTTTTAGTTTGCAGTTTCCTTGATAGTTTTCCTAAATATTTGGTAGCACGTGTTAAAGACAAGAGTTGTTTAATTGTGAAATCCTACTATAAAGAAAACACAGTATGAATATGCCCAGTAGCATATTTGCATATGCGTCTAGAATTCTGGGGATGGAAATACTGTGGTAAAAGACAGTATTCAACATATGAAGCAGTTCCTGGAACGTAGTAGGAGTCTGTAAATGTTTGCTGAAGACGGCTATGTAAGACAGTAAGTAGAGCCTTGGTAATTTTCAGCCTGTTTGTGTTTTTTGAGGGCTTTGGTGGGGGTGGGGGATATGTGAAATAAGACCTTGGATCTTAATATTAATCTCTGCCGTATTACATTGTAGAAACATTTGTTTACGTGATAGTGTGCTGGGCAGTTTGAGAAACTCCCCTGCTCCCCAGGGAAATGACCATCAGGGAAGCTGCTGGTTGGCCCAAAGATAAATTAGCACCCGTCGTCCTCTCTTAAACTTGCCTGAGTTCTGAAGATCCTTGGTGGGAGAGTGACATACCCTGGATCGGGGAACTGCTGTCCACTGTCCCCAACTCACCAAGGAGCCCCAGCCTCCAACTGAGACAGGTTACTTGTGAACTGCCGTGTGCGGTAGCATGTTAGCTCTGGAGCCTAGAGGACATGTTTTACATTTACTAGATACCTGACCTTGGCCAAGGCATTGGCTCTCTCTCAGCTGTAGTTTCTGACAGTACCAACCTCAGAAGATGGCTGAGGGCAGGGATAAAAGTGATCGTCAAAATGCCTAACTCAGTACTTGGCACATTGTAGTAGGTGCCCAATAAGACGTAAGGTTCATACCATCTTTGAGTCCTGTGAATGTGAGGAGGGTAGGACTGGGAAAAAAGTTAGAGACTTGTGAGATTTTCTTCCCTAGGATTGGTGGGGAGGGAAGGAATGTAAAAGGTATGTTACCAGCTTTTAAAGTCTTTACGCTTAAATAACAGCACACGTGACAATTTTGTGAGTCAGTCAGGCTATACACATTTCAGATTTGTACATTTTCAAGTTTTAGAAGTTTATCTGTTGATAGAATATTTGCAAGATAGAGGAAGGCTCACCCGTCAGCATTCTGGTATCTGCCCAGTCTGATCAGTTGACATTAGGTATGCATGCCTAATATGTGTATATTTCAGTTTCCTCTAGGTTTCCTCCCAATCTCCATCTCCAAATATAAAATAATTTGGGAAACTTAAATCTGCAGTCCTAAGTGCTGCCAGCAGGATTTGTGACATCCACTGGGTACTTTTGGCTCACTCAGGGCACCATCACCAGTGACGAGAAAAGTAGCGATGATAAAGCAAAGGAAATAATAAAAACAGAGAAGGGAAGAAGAGTTGGCAGGTCAGGAGCAGGGGGATAAACAGGATGCCCCCGACACACGCACACATGCGTGGTTCTTTAATAAGAGAAACAAGCTGGAATGAGGTTGCTGCTGGTCGGGTTTCGCTGTCTGTGTGGTAGCCGCAGCAGCAGCCATCTCCTCTAAGACGCTTTCTTTGCTGCCACCTTCACTGGTTTCTGGTAAGGCTTTGGCCTCATAGACTGTTGGGAGTCTCAGGAGAGATCCTCCTGATTAGAGGATTCTGTTTGAGTGAATTCTTACAGGGCTCCATATGCACAGGAGAATAACTGGCTTCATCGGCCTCACATATGTGCCACTCAGGAAGTGAATTAACCTGGTGGAATAAACAGCAGGTTAAGCCCCAGCCCCTGCCGCTGGGTTGCTGAGGATCCCACTTCCGGCAGAGCCTCCTCTGAGTCTGTAGAGGGCGCTCATGTCACTGGCATCTCACTTCCTGGTTTAGGACAGGCGGAGGAGCAGGAACCCTGAGTGGTCTCTCAGATCTTCTCACGACTGGAAGTCAGCCAGTCTGCCCTTTGATGACCTCAGGCTAGAATTTGGGGCAGACAGTCTTGTTTCTCAATGGATGTTACTTGGATGAGCTCTTTAGTTCAGCTTGCGTGTTTATGGACTCTCATGCCCTGGTGGATTGAGAAGGGGCTACGACTCAAGTTAGAGCCTCCTCTTTGGGAGATTGGTTCATTTTTTATCCTTGTTTCATAAAGAGCTTGAATTTGATGTTCCCCAGGTCCCACCTTGCTGCCTTCACTGCCCTGTCTTCTGAGTGCCCGGTGTGTGGCCCATCTTTCAGCTTTGCTGAAGCTTTGCTGACCCAGGCAGTGCTCCCACCGTGCTCCTTCTGTTATTTGTTAGCCTTTTTCACGCTGTCCTGTAGTTACGTGAGTCCGATGCCCTACAGGGCATGGACCTTGGGGCCTCATCCATCTCTGCAGCCCTGGCTCCTGGAACAGGACCTGGCACGTGGTGGGCCTTCTTGGATAAGAAATGAATTAATCCACTTTTCACCAGTAACTGTTGGGGACTTAGACTTGCTTCTTAAAGGAGAAGAAAGAATAACTCAAAAGAAATGAAACACTTCAGTGAACACGTAGGCTTGTTAGTGGGAGGCAGTAGATTCTCTTCAGCAAGAGGTCACAGCCTTGGCTCTGCCACCATTTTCCCAGAATTATTGTTTTGTTTTGGTGTTAGCTACTTTCCCCCATGATGCTGACTTTCTTCATTTTGTTACCAGTAAGCAGATTCAACCGTCATTGGACTTTTTCGGTCAGGAGTTAGCAAACCACAGCCCATGGTCTAAATCTGGCCCGCCACCTGTTTCTGTTATTAATAAAGTTTTATTTGCGCACAGCCACACACATTTGTTTGCATATTATCTGCGGCTGCTTTGTGCTCCCATGACTGAGTCGAGTAGTTATGACAGAGACTGTTTATGCACTCCTTGGCCCCCTTTACAAGAAAGGTTTACTGACTCCTGTTGTAGATGACAGATTGCTCTCCGTCAGCCCACCGTCCTCGGTTACGAGGTCAGCGATTGTCTGACGTGAGCAGTGTGTTGGGGGGGGCCCATGCATAAAGGCTGTGAAAGCCCGGGGTTCCACACTTGCCGGCTGGGGACCATTGGCACATCGCTGAGGTACTTCGAGACCTTTCTTCATCTGTAAAACGGGCATTGAAAGCAGTGCCCGCCCCCCAGGTGACTTCGCGTACTGCTGGACGTCATTGCTGCCATTCTTTTTCTCAGGAGGAGGAAGCCAAGACGCTGGTGAGTGAAGCCATTGCAGCCGGCATTTTCAATGACTTGGGGTCTGGAAGTAACATTGACCTCTGTGTCATTAACAAGAGCAAGCTGGATTTTCTCCGCCCGTTCTCAGTGCCCAACAAGAAGGGGACCAGGTGAGTGAGGGAGATGCAGGTTTTCCTGTGTCCCCGGCTTCTGTGGCTACCCTTGACCTCTCCATGGCATCTGACAGGGTTTTCTTGGCTCTTACCCATGTGAAGTAAATCTGGTGTCCCCAAACCAGCCTTACACAACAGAACTTTGAGCCGTTTTTTGCTTTATGATTCTGGGCTGCTGTCAGGTGTAGAAAAGTGATTTAATTTGCAAAATGTCAGGAAAGGTAGAGTGGGGCCCGGGAAAGAGCCCTGGGCTGAGGTTGCGGGGAGAGGTTTGAATCACCTGCTGTCCTTCTCTAGTCTCTCAGAGAATCCCCTGGATTCTGTTTGCGGTTCTGTGAGTTGCATTTTCCAGGGCTGCTGGCCCAGAGCTTTTCTCAGAGTGGTGCGGAAGTCCGAGCAGTTACAAAGCACTGGTTAAGCGTCTGGAAGTTAGCCTTGGGAGCTCACTGGTGCTTCCTGCTCTCGAGGGAGCCCTGGCATATGCTGAGCCAGCACTGGGTCTCAGGGGTGCAGCCCCGGCGTAGAGTAGGGGACAAGCTCCAGTTGCTTTGTTGAACAAGACTGGAAGGTGTCCAGCCTGGTGGCTGGTGTGTGTGCAGATTAACCGCTCATTTGCCGTCCGCATAGCTGGCCAGCTGCTTGCCTGTGCCGTGGCTGCCGAGCTCTGCTGCCAGCAGCATCCATCCCAAGGTAGCCAGCACATCACTTTCTGGAATGCTGGCTTAACTCCCACTGTGTATACTCAGAATCCAAGTTGGGAGTGATTCACACGGACGAGAGCGTTGAGAACCAGCAGGTACTCATCGCATTTGTGCTCAGCATTGTGCAAACTTCGTGTTCTTGGCAGGGTAGAGCAGCCCAGCAGCGAGACGCTCTGGACTGGGGCGATGTCAATTGCCTGGTGTTGGTGACTTTGGGCAAGAGGGCCTCCCTGTTTGTGAAGTGATGGTGCTGGACTAGGTGATCTCTGTCGACTCCACGGTCAGGAGTGGAAGCAGCCTTTCAGGCCTGGCTTTGCTGGGCTCTCTGAAGCGGGAGCCAAGTGTCCCTGTGTGACCTGCTTCCCCTGCTACTTCAAGATGCTCATGACCTGAGCAAGTTCACGGTGAAGCATTTAGGAAGGGGGAGGTGGTTACACTCCATCCAGGCTGAACAGTGTGTTGGGTGAGGATTCTGGAAGCCACATCTGAGCCGTTGAAAAGTAGAGTTTGAGGCTGGACAAGGAACGGGCGCCAAGCACAGGAGTCCTTGTCCAAAAGGAAGTGCAGCAGCGGCTCATCTTACTCCCTTGGGACATAGGCCACAGATGTAAAGGAGACCTAAATGCATAAGAACAGAAACAGACAGACTCCTTGGCTAGTTGTGAAGACTCAGGTGGTGGGGAAGGCACTGGCCAGTTGTGGCAGGTGTCAGCAACCTGCCCCTGCCAGAGCTGCTGCCCCTCAGTGCCCAGGCACTCCTGAAGTTTTACTGTCATCTTTTCTGCCAGTGGCTGACTGATGGGGGTACTGCCTGGCTTAAGGGAACCTTTCCCAGAGTGGACAGTCAGGATGGGGGCAAAGCCTCAGGCCCAGGCAGGCATCCTATGCCCAGTCCCAGTGTGGACCTGGCCTGGCTCCTCTGCCCTCAGCCCTCCGCAGCCCTCCTCTGCCACCTACTGCTGTTTAAGGCAGAAGCCCTCCCCGCGTGCTGCTGAAGCCAGGTGCCGTAGCCCAGGATGGGGAGGAGGCTCCTGTGTCCTCCCCTCCGGACGCTGTGGTTCCCACGAGTCGGGCACATAGGAGCCACGTGGGGCTCTGGCGGCTAAGGGTCCAGTCTAGGGGAAGGAGCCACGTCTTCACACCAGCGGGGTGGGGCTGGGGGGTGGTGGGAGCACAGCTTTAAAAGGTGCTGCAGCGAAGGAGAGCCTGGAGGGGACGGGAAGGGTTAACAGAAACAAAGGTCTGCCTGTCTTCGCTGCACACGCTCTGCTCTTGAGTTTATACAGAGCCCGGTAACATCTCCCTCTTCTCTGCTTCCTCCCCTCTGAGCACAAGTGCCCACTGGACAGGATGGGTTATCGAGGAGCGCGTGGTCGTGGCACAGCCAGTGTGGTCTGTTAGTCCACGCCAAGGGGACGGAAGTAATGTCCAGCTGCGGACAGAGCAGAGGAGCAGTTGGCTTTGTGCTGCTATTTGACAGTGATGTTATTCTCAGCCCCAGCACGAGAATTAGCAGTTCAGATACATATCTCATAGACCATGTCATGCTCAGAGAAGCCTGTGGGATTCACTCCAGGAAAGGTGTTGGGTGTGTCCTAATGATGATGATCCACCGTGTCCCTGCCAGGGACAGTTAACTCTCCTCTCGAGTCTTCAGAGTGTGGTCTAAAATGCCAAGGACAGAGTCTGTCTGCGGGTCATTTTTATGCTGTTTATGCTTCCAGATGTGTTTTAAGTGTTTAAGGTAGCAGGTCAGCCTTGCTGCTGCACAAGAGGAGGGTGATGGCAGCTCAGTGGAAGGATTCGCTTCCTGCTGGCTCCAGGAGGTTGAAGCCTGAAGGCCAGTGACCAAATGCTTTCTAGCATCTTCTGGTGATGGGGAGGTGGGCAAAGAAATTTGAGTACCAGGTGCTCTGTGTGATCTCTCTTAGTGTGCCTCCTCTCTACCGGGGTCCCTGTTCGCTCACACTTGGGGGCTGACAAAAATGAGCTGTGGGGTAGTCAAATCCCCCAGGGTCGCAGAGCTAGGACTCAGGAGAGCCAGACCCCAGCCCAGGCCTGTTTGCTGCCTGAACACTGGTCCCTCTCTCCAGCCTCACATCGGGCGTCTTGAGGGGATCCTAACTCCGTTGTTATATTCTTGTCACTAGGTTTGGCCGGTACCGGTGTGAGAAAGGGACCACTGCAGTCCTCACTGAAAAAGTCACTAGCCTGGAAATCGAGGTGCTGGAAGAAACAGTCCAAACGATGGACACGTCCTGAGTGGTGTCGGCGGGAGGCTGGTTGCTGCTCTTGAAGATGGGGGGCAGTGGAGGCTCCCCTGTAAGACCTTCATTCGGCCCGTGTTTGCTGAATGAAACCCAATAAAAAAGAAAACGAAATTGACTGGCTGAGGTCTGGAGGCTGTGTGGGTTTTTGGTCATTAAGTGGGGTCTTTTGGCCATTAAGGCCATCGGCCTGGCCTCCCCTTCAGGATGCTAATCCCTCCCCGGGTGCCAGTCTGTGCGAGCCTCCTAAAGACAGTGGGGCCTCATCTGTCACAGGAGGTCGGATTGGGTTACGCCGATTTTTCCGGTGTCTGTCGTCCCCACCCCTCTGCTGACTTCCCTTCCCCGTGGTGGTCCCAGGGTTCTTCTTCTTCTTCTTCTTCTTTTTTTTCTAGGGTGAGTACAGCACAGCCTTTTAGGAAAGAGTCAGACACGATCAGTTCTAAGTCCCAAAAACAAGCAGGGCGATGGATTGTTGGCCACAGCGGCGTGAAACTGGGCGGACTCCACCCGGGCAAGTCTCACAGAAGCCAGGGGAATGCTCTGGGGATTAGTGTGTAACAGTTAGGAAACAGCCATTTCACAGACACTCCGGCCTCGTGAATGCCTGCAGTCGGACGCCTCCAGAGGGCCTCGCAGGCAGAACTGTTCTCGTGACAGGCAGAAAGCAAGTTCATCAGTGTCCAACACCGATTCTGCCAAGGGGGACACAGAGGGGGGCTCTGAGAGATGTAAGCAGAGTATTAACAGAAAAATCTGGCATCAGAAAAACGTTCAGAGGTAAGTGCTAGGTAGGAGACGGGGCCTTGACTCTCCCAGAGGGAGCGTGGCTGGGGGACATGAGGAGGAGGAGGCCAGCACCAGGTTTTCCAGAGTAAGCCTGCTCTTGGGCCAGCCTGCTCTGTTGCCGCCAGGAGTGGGTGGGGAGAATGGTGGAGTTATTTACGGCAGCAACTTGGCTGATGACTACCAAAATTATTGGGAAGCTTGAAAAAATTCCGGGATTACTCAGAATGTCTGGGGCCTGAGAAATTGTGTCCTTAAAGTGCCTCAAGAAATTGTGCTGCACTGTGAAGCTGTTTTAAAACTTATCTATGAACCGTACTCATTCACAAAAGGAACCCCCCTTACCCCATTTTATTTCAAACATGGAGAACACATACAAAGCAAAGGTTGCATCTGAAGAAAATCTCTCCAACTCGACAGTGTTACAGTAGAACAGATTTCACACATGGAAACAGAGCAGTGGCCCAGCCCAAGCCCTTTATCCCCAGGGAGGCCTGGCCAGCGAATTGGCTGCAGTCAGAGCACCTTGCCAGGACACAGATGGAGCGGGCGGGCTTGCGCGCTCTCTGGAGGGCTGAACTGTCACCAAGTCAGTGGACGACAACTTAGACCATTTGAGGATTAACTTGAGTATAAAGACAAAATTCAAACTGTTTCCTTCAGAGCTTGAGTTTTCCTTATGTTCACATTTATAAATTAGTCTTCACAGTTAATCCTATTTGGGAACATGAAATAAAGGCACACCTTTCTGGTTTCCTACACGTAGTACAGTTGTACATTAATTCTTGACTTAACGTGGTTCATGGACTTGAGTTCTGTGAAGGGGTGAGTGCTGCCATTTTTGAATCATCTACAATGTGCTAGACAACTTCCATATTTTATTTCAAATTCTGTCAGCAACCCTGAAGGTAGGTATTATTAGTCCCATTTTACAGATGAGGAAACTAAGGCTCAGAGAGACTAAGAAACTTGCCCAGGGCTGTGGCAGGAAGCTGCAAAACTAGAATTTGTACAGAGAACAGCCTGAGGGTATGTTTTATATTTTTCGTATGCCATGCTTTCTTCCTATAGACAAAAACGCTTAACACTGATCATTAAATGAACTGCCAGCATTCAGGCAAGTGAAGTGCCTGGTACAGAGCAGGTGGTCAGGAGAAGATGGCTGAGCCAGACTGCATGGAAAACACTCATGCCTCTCAAATACTGTCTGTCTCCTGAAGCTCTATGCCAGATGCTGGGTCCTCCTCATCCTTATTCATCGAGTTAAAAACATAGATAAAAATATTAGGAAAATCTCCACTCCATTTAAAAAATTATGTCCACTTTATCCCTTTACAAGAGAGTAAATTAAGCACACAGCTTGATTGTTTAAAAAGATTCTAAGCTAAACTGAACTCGCTACTAGCCATTTTCAAAGGCTCACTGCAAATCGCAGTCTCCTGCAGTTCTGTTCGTATCAACCTTGACCAGTCACTCAAGGAATTACCCTACAGGTTCACATTACAGTCCAGGTCCAAGGGGTGCATCCCTGGCTCGCTGATCCGCACCCCTTTGTTAACAATCCAGCTGAGATTGTCCGCAACAGTCTAAAGAAAGGACTTTTGAATTTGACCACCAGGAACATGTGACCAGCGCCCCTCCCCCCAGCTGCTCTGCATTCAGCATCTGCTGTGAAGCCCGGCCCCCTTTGGGGAACCTGCTGAAATCTCTTGTCTTAGTTGATCTAGGCTACCAGGTGGCCGCTTTGGAGAGGAGACTCAGGTAAGGCAGAGAGGTGCTGGCTCTGGCAAGGCCCGCCGTGCCCACGGTCAGGTGCTGGACGTCCACACGTGCATCTGCTTGGCCACCTGGTGCACATAACCGATGTCCGGCCTCTGGTTGGGGTCGGGGTAGATGCACATACTGACCAGTTCCCGTAACTGCAGGGGAGAGGACGGCTCGTGTTAGTCTTAAGAAAGCATTAACTCACGTAGTCCTCGACGCGTACAGAGGATGAGGGATGGGTGCCCGGTCACACAGTCAGTCACCGGGCAGAGCCAAGCCCATTCCTAGGCTTGTCCGGTCCCAAAGGCCATGCTTTGAGACCCCGAGAGCGGTTACCTTCAAATAATTGTGAATTTTCCAATTACCCACACTAGGCAAATTGTGTGTGTGTGTGTGTGTGTGTGCGCGCGTGTGTGCGCGCGCACGCGCACTGTCAGTCATGCAGATGCCCAACCAGAGGACAAAACTCAAGGCAAGAGCTTATTGATCATAATAAATGCATTAACATGCAGCAGGGCTGCAGTCTGCCCACCCCCTGGCCTCTTTATTGTGCTCATGAAAGACGGAGCTTTTAATTACACAGACACTGAAGGCTGCGCCCGCCTCGGGGTGGGGGAGGGGCGCCTTGAGCCTCTGATCGCCTCCCCTCTTCGGATAGCCAGAGTGCCAATTATTTTAATGGTAATTAAAATAATGACCTTAAAAAGCCTGCATCTTAACTTGCATCACTGGACCGGCTCACTGCAATTTTCTTATTTAAATACCTGCTGCTGGGGAGCCTGGCTGGCCCTGCAGGGTTGGGTCAGGAGCAGCGGCTGGGAGGGCCGGTCCTGAATGAGGGGGCTCCGTGGACTGAGCCATGCTCAGGGGGCCTGGGAGGGTGGAAGGGTCATGCAGAGGCCCGGAGCCACCGTACACACGCCACGTGTCACTCTCGAGGGGGTGTGGGCCGCAAACGAGGTTCCTCTGGGTCAGGCATTTTGAGTATCCCTCCAACCTGCATGCTGCCTTTGTGGGAGTCCACTGCCTTCTCACCACGGGGAGCCCCTGGACAGATGCGTTGAGCCTGCAGCCGGCTTGGGCAGTCCTGGAGACTGAGGCTGCCCAAGATGCAACGAAACTTTTCGAGATCTTACAGTATTCAAGGCAATTCCTTAATCCAAGGAAACTGGATTAAGGTGAAGTCTATGTGACCCCAATTGTCACCTGAGCCGACCACGCAATTGACAATAAGTGCTGGTTATAAAATTTCAGAAATCAGGAGAAATAAAAGTAGTATAAGTGTCTTATTTCCATTTCTAAGAGGGGAAAGAACTTCAAAAGTGAGGTGTGCTAAGGGCCTCCAGTGCTAAGAAGCCCCTCTGGCCCCCAGACACACGGCTGGAACCGCTGCACATGGCCGAAAGCAGGGGCGGGGGGGAGTGGGAGCTCGCGACGGCGAGTGGCTGATGCAGGAGGGAGAAGTGGCCTGCAGGCTCTATGCGGATGTGTTCACTTCAGCTTCAGATCTGCGAGACAGAGATCACAGTTCCCACTTACAGGTGGGAAACCGAGGCACAGAGAAGTCATGATTTGCTCCAGGTTGCATGGCTCCAAGCTGCTTTTGAAGAGTAGAGAAATCCAATTTTAAAGAAAAAGTGAGTAAAGGAAAACCAAATGCAACTATTCACTTGGTAAAGAACTCTAACTGGTTTTCCCTTTCCTGCCAACTTCCACTCCAGAGCATAGGTCCTTCCTCTAAAAGTTCATGGAAGAACTGAACTCTGCAAGCCATAGAAGCAAAAGCTGTGAGAGAGAGTGCCCTGAGCAACTTTACAGGGACGCGTGCTCCTGACCCTCACCCTCGGTCCTGTGAGAGTCTGTGAAGCCTGTGAGCAGGCATTAAGCACAAAGCCTGCTGGGAGAAGGGTGGTCGGTCGGTGACCCGTGGGTCGACCTGCCTGGACACAGGGTTAGAGCACATTGGGAGACCTGGTGTCTGCAAGCTGGCCTGCGCAGGCCCAGGTCCCTGGAGGACGAGGGCTGCTCCTGCTCCAGTCTTGGAACCTTTAGAGTTGGGACTGCAGCGAGCTGCACACGGTACTTCACCCCGGCTGAACCATCAGCTACTGCAGAGGCGTGCCATCAAGACCGGATGGTGCAGTGACGAGGGGTCCCGGGTTCAAATCCTGCCTCTACCACTTCCAAGTTATGTGGCCTTGGACAGCTATGCCTCAGTTCCCTCACTGGTGAAATGGGGTGGGGGAGGATCAACACAGTAGGTAATCAATGTGAGATGCTATTATATTGTGAGGCAGTGGCCCATGGGGGTCTCGGACTCCTCATCACACCCACTAGTGTTGACCTGGGACAGAAAAAACAATAATAGTTCTATAAGCCTTAACCTTGAACAGATATAAGGATAGTAGTTAATGCTTATTGAGCATTTACTCTTGAGCCAGGCCTTGTGCTACATCCAGCGGCTACTTCTGATGATGATGATGGGGTAAATGCTATGCCAGCCTGGTGCTAGACTGAGCATGTCACACGCCACCTTAATCCTTACACCGACCCTGTGAGGTAGATCCCGGCATTATCCTCATTTTGCAGGCAAGGAAACAGACTCAGAACTAAGTTCAGTGACTCGCCTAAGAGGAGTGAAGGGAATGTGTAAACCTACGCATCCGTCTACACCCTGAGCCACGCTGTGCCATCAACCTGCCATTTCCTCCTCACATTTTATCCGCGAAGGCGAACATCATCCCTGTTTCCATGGTGATGAAGCTGAGGAAGATGATGCTCACGCACGGTACCCGGCACAGCCAGACCTGTCAGAGTCTGTCCAGAGCCCCTGCACCTGGTGTCGAGTGTTGAAAATAAAAACCCAAGGAGTGACTTAGATCTGCGACAGCAAAGAGACCAGTCTGCACGCCGTGGTTTCCTGTCACGGGAGTGGAACGGCAGCCAGCCGCGGTGTGGGGCACGCCAGGGCCCTGCCGCTGCCTGCCTCTGCGTCTGGTTCTAGTTGTCTGACACCACACGGAGCCTGTCTCTGGGACCTGCGGCAGCAAGCCTCACACTCGGGCCTCACACTCGGGCCTCACACTGGGCCTCAGGTTGGGAGCCAAACGGGCGTCAGTGTGCCCACAGGGCTTCCTGGGCCAGCTACAGCTGGTTTCTGGGCCAGTGGGTGAGCGACAGTCCTGCTGTCGGGGCCCACACTGGTGTCTGTCCATGAGAGCTTTTCAGTAAAATCAATCTGCTTTTGTCCCCTCTGAGTCACTTCCCCAGAAGTCTTCCCTCCTCCATGCCAGGAAGGGAACCCAAGCTCAACCCCACAGCCGAGGTATTTCGGAAGTGCCCCTCCCTCACAAGGCCATCGAGGCCCCCAGGTCCGGCCCTGGCAGCCGCACTCACCTTCTCAGAGTAATGTTCTCCAGGGAGAGGCGGGTAGTCACACTGCTCGATCTTCTGGCAGAGGGAGAAGAGGTTCATTTTATCGCCATAGAAGGGGCTCTGGAGAGCGGCCATCTGCAGGGGGAGGGGGAGGGGAGAGGAGAGTGTTCAGCCTCGAGGTCCAGGGGGAAGAGGGCCCGCTCACTCCGGTCACTCCGGTCCTCACCACGACCATGACGGTCCGTGGCCAGCAGGACGTCCCCGGAATCCCAGCTTCCTGGGATTCACAGATGTGGCAGTCTAACCTGATCCTCGTTACGTAAGCAAATCAGCTGGGGCAAGGGTTTCGGTGACAAAATTTTAAAGCCAATAAGGAAAGGCGGGGTGGGCGGCTGACTCTGAGGGCCCGCCGCATGCAGGCGCACACCCCGCTGCATGCCTCGGCCCTCCAGGACTGATTCTGCTCGTGTGCACGGAGGAAACGGGCTCTGCTCACGGGGGCTGGTGCCTGGGCCCAGCAGGTCCTCTCTGGTGTATCGTCCTATATATTTCTAAAAGGCAATTCCAAAGACGCCCGTGGGAGGATGTCTATTAAAACAATAAATTTAGGAAATTTTTACCAGCCCACGACAGAGCTGCTGTCGGAAGGCCTGGCCACTGCTGTCTTAGAAGCTGGACACCCAGGTAGCGCTGGACAGGGTAGGCAGGGGGAGGAAGGCGGGCCAGCTGGCCACCCCTGGATGCAGGGGCCTGGGACCCTCTGCCTCACAGAAGGGAAGCAGTCGCCAGGCTCTGCGGCCAAAGCCAGCGCTGGCCTGAGTCCTGGCTTAGCAGTCGTTGGCCGTGACTGGCCTTTAGTTTTCTCAAACATAAAATGGAAAAGGTTCCACCTGCGGGGCTGTGGCGAGGCTTGGCTGGCACGGGAGGAGGCACCGCAAGCCAAGTGGCACCCTCACCTGGCTCCACGCTGAAGCCGGGCCTGCTCCTGGGGTGCTGGGGAGAAGAACCCGTAGCCTCGCTGGGTTCTCACTCCGTCCGGGAACTACCAGGCCCCCCGCTGCAGGAGGGCACCCAGACTCCCCACCCCACCGTTCAGAGCACTGCTGGGGGGGCGGCATGAAGCAGCGCGTGGCAGCCCAGCACGGCGCCCGCAGCCCCATCTGCTGATTAATCCATAATGGGATTCAAGTGCTTCTTGTCACTCCTGCTCACTGTTGCCTGCCACCAAAAGACGGCCCAACGCCTCCTGCTAATGAAGTGCCGTCGGGTAATTGTGCTCGCCTGTCCCTTTGGCCCTAGTTCCCTTGGAGGAGCCAGGCTGCCCAGGTCATTGTGCACAGATCCATGATCGAGGGCTCCTGGACTCCGGCTGTGACAGGCATTGGGACACCTGAGGAATCCTCATTGTCCTCAGGCCCCAGGTGGTGGCCCAGCGAGCCCCATTTCAGGGCAGGGAGGAGCTCGTGGTAGCTGGCTTTGTGGGTGCCCATCAGCTTTAGTTTCCTGGTCTGCCCCCATCCTCTGTTCCCCACTGTGAACAGGTCTGGTGACCCCAAGAGCAGGGCCTGCCTTCTTCACAAGGGCCCAGGGGGCTTCAGAGCCCGGGCAGTGTCCTTAAGTTTACAGATGGCCTTGGGGAGGCAGCAGCGTTGTCTGGAGATTTGTCCCTCGGACCAGGAAGTCTGTCCAGGAAGCAGCTGTAGGCCCAGGTACCTGGGCCAGGCCAAGTGCTTCCAAGTAGGTGTTCAGGGCCAGCCTCATCTCTCCTCTTCTGCGACCTGGGGTTTGGGGCCCTCTGAGAGCACTGGGAACCCATCTGGACTGAGAACCCCCCACTTCCAGGAAGGCTACATGAAGTGAGTGGCCCGGGCCCTTGGCAGGGGAGGCCCTGGAGGGCCACCTGGGGGTGGGGGTGGGGGCGCTGGCTTTAACTCCATGTGCAAAGTGGCATCACCTGGCTGATGCATTTCCAATAATTAAAATGAGAACCTTGGTGCAAAGGGTTAATTGGGCAGTTTCAAAAGGACATCTGTTGCCACAGCAAGAGCAGCTGAGGCTCCACGTGGTCACTCGGGGTGAGCAGGTCGCCCTCTGAGTTGTGGCAGGGACGAGGGTGGATTTTTCCTCCGAGTGTTTCTGTTCAAAGTAGAAAGGACCCACCCATCAACGTGGGGCCTGGTTTCCATGCGTCTGTCTGACTGCGAGAGGGGACTGGGTGATCCTTTCAACAAGCCAGTCTGATCTGATTTGCATAAAACTTGCTGTTTGGGATTCCCACAGGGCCCTAGGAATTGTGAGGGGTGGCGAGCCCCATATCCACTGTTTCCTTCAGATCATTTCTCCTTCCTTGTTTTGGAAAAGCGTCTTGAACAGGGTCGGCAGTGGGCTCCCTGCTGACAGCGGCTTCCACGTCCATGATGCAGATTCTAGCAGAAGCGGCGTTGCACCCACCGCCCCCTCCCGCTGCCGGCCACGGGCCTTCCATCCCGATCAGGGCGTCAGGCTGTGAAGGAACCTCTGGGGCTGCTGCTCGAGACACTGGGATTAGAACGATTACGCCGGAGGACGAGATCTCCCCGTACCAGTGACCACCCACCTCTGACTGGTCGAAGAGAAGAGGAAATGCTTTTTTGGGGGCAATACTGGTCGCCTCGTTAGAACTGCCAAAGCCAGGGCTCTCAGCGCTGCCCCTCAAATGCAGAACTTTTTCTGTCTGGCGTCATCGGGCTGACACACAGCCAGGGAGCGTGTGGGCACTTGGCCCCGCTGGGACGGCTCAGAGAGACTGGTGTGTGATCTGAGATGTCAGAAGGAGCAGGGGGACCTGACTGCAGGGAGGACAGAGATTGCCTTTGACTCCCGCCCTGCGAGGGCCTCAGACACCCCTCTCCTCACCCGGCGTCTCCCCAGCGTGGCCCGGAGTGAAGGCTGAGCCCAGAGGCCAACTGCCAAGTAGTCCGCAGCCCTGCTCCCTCACGAGGTAGGGGGCGTCCAGACCATTCCCCGGCTCAAGCCAGAATTCCGCAGCAGGATTCCAAACAAGGCACCGCTGATCCCCAGGCTTTTCCCGGCCTGCTTTCTGGCTGGGTCTCAGTCCCGCACGGGCCCCTGGAGGCAGCTGTGAAAGACCCCCAGCTGAGGATCCCGGGGCTGGCACTGAATGAGCCAATTTCTTCAGCTCCCACGTAGATAAATAAATTCTGCAGCGCCAGGCAGCCTGCTGGGTGCCGCCACAGGGCGTGCTGGGTAACGAAAATAAAGCACGGGGCCTTCCAGCCGCCGAGTTCGGGCATCTGCTGGGAGCTCTGAACGCAGAGGAGGGGCTGCTGACACTGCTCGGGGCTCCTCACAGCCCAGCCTCCCCCTCGCAGGGGCTCTGGGCAGAGGCCCTGCAGCTCTCTCCATGTGGTCACTCCTTCCCCCGAGGCTGGGAAGAAGGGAGAGGGGCCCTGGTTGCGGTCCACGGGAAGGTGGGCTTTGACAGACGGACAGACAGACAGACAGACAGCCCAGGGATCAGGGCTGGTCTTGGTGGCTTCCTCGCTGTGTGACACTGGGGAGCCTCTCCACCTCTCTGAGCCTCAGCCCCCTCCCTTACAGTGAGGCTGTGACCGGCCTGGTACGATTCTTGTGATTCACTCTGGTGGCCGGGGAGGTGCTGTGCCAGCTGCTGTGCCGTGTGGCATGTTTCTCCTGTGCTGACCTCTTCGAGACAGAGCCCACTTGGTGTCCACTCCTGAGGGCACAGGCCAGGTGTAGTGCCCTGTGGGGCTCCTCGCTAGCCATGGGTCAACATCGGCGTCTTAACGTGACCTCAGGAGGTCCTCAGTGAAAGGGGTATGGCGGGCTGAATAATGGCCCTTGAGGAGGTCTGTGCCCTAGTCCTGGGAGCCTGCGAAAGTGTGACCTTATGAGACAAAAGGGATTCGCAGGTGCGATTAAATTAAGGGTCTCCTGCTGGGAGGTAATCCCAGGCGATCCAGGGGGCCCTAAATATGACTGCTATGCCCTTGTCAGAGGAAAGCAGAGGGGCCTCTGACCCCAGAGGGAAGGGAGTGTGTAGACGCAGCACTGCGAGGTCACGAGCCCAGGGATGCCGGCGGCAGAAGGAGCCAGCCTTGATGACACCTGGGCTTTGGTCCGTTGATACTGATTTTGGACTTCTGGCTTCCGGATGGTAAGAGCATAATTTTATGTTGCGTGAAGCCATCAACTTCGCGGTGACCTGTTACAGCGGCCACAGAAGCTGGCAAGGGGCTTTGGTTCTTCCAGCCCTCGCGGGAGCGTGAGGAAGGGCAGGCCAGTCCCCATCGGGGGCAGGTTTCCTCTGGCTCTGTGCTGCCACAGAGCCTCGGGCCCCAGACCGCCCCGGCCCAGCGTGCTCCACTAGGGCTGCGCTGATCCCGAGCCGAGGTCTGGAGGGGGTGGGGCAGTCTCCGCCACAGCGATGCGGGCTGGCGCCCTAGAACACACCGCGGGCCACGTAGCGGGAGTGCCAGCCGTGCCTGTGGGATGTTTCCTTCCAATTACCAGGCCCCGGGCTCAGATGCGTCTCCCTTCCTGTCTACTGGGAAAACATCTGCTTTCGCTTCCCCACAGGGCTGGGGGAGTGGGGACAGGGTGGCAGCCCCGGGCAGGGCCCCCGATGCCCATCACTCTTGGAGGGGTTGGCCACAGCCGGCCACGTCAGCCACGTCCCCTTTTTGTGTAGGAGGTCCGGGGCCATTAGGTTGAGATCAGCACCCACTGTCCCCAAGGACATCAATGCCCAAAGGACTTGATTGATTTCATTGACTTCCCACTGCCAATGCGTCCCTCCCAGGCTGCAACTCCCAGGCCCCACACACTGCCAACAAATAAGTCGACCCGGTGACCCAGAGCCTCCGTGCCGGAGAGCCGCTAAGGGATGCTGCCGTGTTAGACATGCATTTAAATGCTCATGACGAGGACCGTTCCAGGCCTGGCCCAGAATCCGCCAGGGTGGGCGGTGCGGGCCAGCGCAGGCTGCCTCTGCCTCTAGGAGCTGGGACAAAGGCTCGGGCAGGGAGCACAGGGGGCCAGCTGCCGTCCTCCCGCCGGCCCTGGGGACGTGTGCCCCTGTCCCACCCTGGTCAGCCAGCGTGTCTCTTGGTTTACATTTAGAGACCCTCATGGCTCACAGAGCAGGACACAGCTTACGAAAATCCCAAACACAAATGGAAAAATAAGGACCGAATCATCTGGACCAGGGACAATATCTACAAGGGCAGGAGGACAAAGCTGAGACTTCCACAGGGAAGGAAGACAAGCTGCACTTTGGCTTCCCCTCGGCCAAAGCAAAAACGGAAAGGTGGCCGGCTGCAGAGCCTCGCTCAGAGGTGGGCAGCGTCTCGCCAACCACTGCTGGGTCTGCACTGGTCAGCGGGCTCACGGACAGCTAGGAGGGACAGATAAGCTTCTGAGACCTAACCTCCACTGCCCCAGGGCCTCCTCCGAGCCAGGTGCCATTCACGCCTCATGTCGGGGCAGTGTGATCTCATTTTATACTTGGGTCACCGGAAGCTCCTGGGAGTGCTGACTTGCCCTGGGGCCATTAGGAGCTGAGTTGGGAGCTGAGCTTTGAACTCAGGTCCTTCTGGGCCCACACTAGGACCCTGCATGTCTCTCGCCCACATTGCCACGGATATGTGATTGCACACGCACGCGCACACACACTAATTCAAAATGGCATCCCCCGGCCTCCAGCTATGCCGAGGGCATTTGCTGGGTTCTGGGAGACACAGAGCAAAAGCCTGTCCACCTCAGGACCGACGCCCAGGTGGATGATGCCCACTTAGAGAGGGGTCAGAAGCCCCTGCACAGTCCCAGGTCGGGGCAGGGGCAGGGACAGGGCTGTTGGTGCGGGGCGTCGAGCCCAGGGACAGCCCGCTTAATGCATGACCTGCACTTGGCTTTGTCACTGGCCTCGGCAGCCTCGGTGGTCAGTGTTCATCTGAGGTGCCTGGACTCAGAGGTGTGCTGGAGAGACCCGAAGTCATGATTCATCTTGGGTGACAAACACCCATGCCACAGAGGTTCTGTGCGACCCAGCGACTCCCCCACCCCTTTGTCACCTGGTTGTAATTCATTTTCAGCAAAGCTGGGGCTGGGTGAGTGTGCGGGTACATGGGGCGCCCTGTCCTTGCTGAGGACAGTTCTGACTTTCATCTCTTCTGTTGCTGAAGACACTGAACCCCTTCCAAATTTCCTCCCTCCATCTTCCTTCCCGAGCTCACCCCCACCCTCCCTGCTCCCAAAGCTCCCAGCAGAAACCACCTGGCCACTGGGGGTGTGGGGAGAGACAGGGTTGGGGGAAGGAGACACAACTCAGCCCTGTCTCATCCCCGGGGGCCGGGAGCTGCTCTGCGCTCCCGATCCACTGCAGCCACCCAGGCGGCACCCCATGTAGGGCCTGACCCACGGGTGAAGGACAAACAGGAAACACAACCAGCCTGGTTACCAGGGAAACCGGGGCAGGTACAGTAAGAACCTGGGGCCACCAGACTCCCCGGCCTGTGCTCCCCCATTGCACAAGCAGACGCTGAACTTCCCGTCGGCTTCTAGTCTGTCTCCCTTCCCAGACCTGAGCAGCCCAAGGGTGGAACAGCACCCGGCCCACCGCTGGCCACCCCACCAACAACCTCCTCCCGCCTGACACTGCTGATGAGGCAGATGCCGGACCAGGCGGGGTGGAGGACGGGACCCAAACGGTGTTGATGCCACAGGCAGACATCACGCAGCTCCGGGGCCCCACTTAACACTGCCGGGCCTACCTCATACAGCAGGCAGCCCAGGGACCAGATGTCAGACTTGAAGTTGTAGCCGTTCTCGTGGATCCTCTCCGGTGACATGTAGTACGGCGTCCCCACTGAAACACAGCAAGGGGGTGGGTGCTTAGGCTCTGTGCAGGGGCAGGACACGTGGGCGTGGGGGAGGGGAAGGCACGGTCTCACTGGGACCCTGGGCAACCCTTCTCCCTCTCCTCCTGTCTCCTCCTCCTTCAAATGAGAGGGCTGGGCCAGACTGGAAGTTCCCACCCTGGCAGGGCACAAACAGCCCCTGGGGACAGGGGGCTGGGCAGCTGGGGACTGGTGTTTCTGCTGGCTGGCCAGGGCATTGGGGTGCAGCAGCCAGGCTCTGGGCAGCAAGTGGCCAAGTGTCCTTTCAGGCAACTGCTTGAATCTCAGAAGAGTCCAGATAAAGCTCTCAACAGCGAAAGGAGGACCACCACTGTTAACGCTGACCAAGCGTGTCACACGTGTTAGCTCGTTTGTGCCCCTAACAGTCCCATGAGGAGGCACCCCCATTTTACAGATGGAGAGACTGAGGCTCAGGAAAGCAGCAGGACCGGGGTTCAAACCCAGATCTTCAGGTATCAGAAACGGAGTTCTTAGCCGCCACCCTTGGCTGGCACCGACTGGCAAGCCCGAATTTGGGGTTGGCCGAGATTTCTTAAACAGGACAGAAAAGACACTAACCATAAGAGGAAAGATTGATAAAGTGGCCTTCATTAAAATTAGAAACTTCAGTTCACCAAAAGACCACTCAGAGAGTTAAAAGGCACAGCCTAAGAAGAAATAGTGTCAACACATATACCCAACAATGGCCTCGCATACAGAATGTATTTGAAAAAACACGTCTCTAAATCAATAAGTAAAAGACAAACGACCCCCTCCCCGAAATGAGCAAACAGCTTGAAGGGAGACTTCACAAAGAACATATCCAAATGGCTGATAAGCAAGCACAGGAAACTGTTAATTTTCCTCATTACTCATTAGAGCCATGCAAATTAAAAGCACAGTGAGGTAGGTATGACTGCTTGAATCTCAGAAGAGTCCAGATAAAGCTCTCAACAGCGAAAGGACCACCACTGTTAACGCTGACCAAGCGTGTCACACGTGTTAGCTCGTTTGTGCCCCTAACAGTCCCATGAGGAGGCACCCCCTTTTTACAGATGGAGAGACTGAGGCTCAGGAAAGCAGCAGGACCGGGGTTCAAACCCAGATCTTCAGGTATCAGAAACGGAGTTCTTAGCCGCCACCCTTGGCTGGCACCGACTGGCAAGCCCGAATTTGGGGTTGGCCGAGATTTCTTAAACAGGACAGAAAAGACACTAACCATAAGAGGAAAGATTGATAAAGTGGCCTTCATTAAAATTAGAAACTTCAGTTCACCAAAAGACCACTCAGAGAGTTAAAAGGCACAGCCTAAGAAGAAATAGTGTCAACACATATACCCAACAATGGCCTCGCATACAGAATGTATTTGAAAAAACACGTCTCTAAATCAATAAGTAAAAGACAAACGACCCCCTCCCCCAAATGAGCAAACAGCTTGAAGGGAGACTTCACAAAGAACATATCCAAATGGCTGATAAGCAAGCACAGGAAACTGTTAATTTTCCTCATTACTCATTAGAGCCATGCAAATTAAAAGCACAGTGAAGTAGGTATGGCCGCCCACTACCTGAATAGTTAAAGGCAACATGATTGAGATATATATATGCCCAACAGAAATAAGTGCTTCCTTCCATCAAGAGACACGCTCGAAAATGTGCAAAGTGGCTTTACTTGTAATGAGCAGAAGCTGGAAACAAATGTCAATCAACAGTAGAATGCATAGATTGACAACGGAATACTAAACAGCCACGAACAAGAACCAACCTCAGCTGCATACCACAAACTGGGTAAATCTCACAGACATAATGATGGAAGAAAGCAGCCAGGCACAGAAGAACACGCACTATGATTCCATGTTTATCAAGAACAGGAAAAGCTGCTCTCGGGGGGCAGTGATCCGGAAAGGGCTCGAGGGAGCGTTCCTGTACACGTATCGCATCTCGATTAAAAAGCAGAGGGGGCACACGCTTTCAAAGAACGGGAACTGTGGCAAGATGGGAGGGTTTCCTGCGAGGAGGTGAGCTCCCCATCGGCAGAGGCATGCAAGTTGCAGCAGAAGGGCTGAGGTGGAAGGGCTGAAGACGGGCCCAGGAATCTGCATTGTTAACCTGAGATCCTGATCTCGGTCCGTTTGGAAGATGATTAGGTTCTGGAGGCTTTGGGACCAGATTTTACGCAGGACATTTCCAGTGGTCTGGAGAGACCATGTCAGTGTGACAGTAACGGCTGCCGTTCAGCCAGAGTCTGTGTAAGGAGCTAGAGCCCAGCGTGGCAGAGGCTGAGCCTGAGATGTGGCTCGCGACCCTAGGAAGGAGGATGGCCAGCAGCACAGGACCCTGGGAGGACAGGTAAGCTAGACTTGGAAGGCCTCGGTGCCCCAAAGCAGGGCACCAAGCTTCAGGATTTCGTGGGCCAAAGATGTCTCGGGGCAACTAAATTTTGCCGGGTACAGTGTTTAAAAAACTCAAAACCCCAACTACCACTTAGTGTCACATATTATTTTTAAAAGAAAGGACATTTTAACCCCCAAATAATAGAAAACCCAATCTCAAAATCCAGGACAGTCCTTTACATCAAAAGCGTTTAGCTATCTGAAAACTTCATCTTCTTGTTTTTCTTACTGGAGATGTATGAGAAATTCTGTCATGCCGAGTTGTAGAGGCTGTGAAGTGTCGCAAACCCCTGCTTCAGGCTCTGTGGGAGCATGACCTTATTCACCAAAGTATCCCAGCGCCCCTCCCAGGACCAGGTCCCAGGTCACAGCAGGCACCTCGTAAGCGGCTACTCGCAGTCATTGACTCCATCCATGTTATCAGATAGCGCACGTCAGTGGTCACACTTTTTTCTTGCAGCCTAAGGCACTGTTTACTTAACCGATGGCTGCCCAAGAGGGTCTATCTCATTATTGCTTTATCAAGACACCAAGCACCCTTTGATGGCAATAATCCCTGAACAGGGACAGCAGCCTTCACTTAAATACATGGTTTGAGAATTGCATGCATACTTTATGGCTGAAATCAGGGGTGAATTGCTGTTCAGCAGAAAGAGCTGTCCGTTCACGCGTGAATCCACATAGAATTCTATCGACGAACAGTGACTTCCGGCAGCAGCCCCTTGTATATTTTGCTCATGAGGGTGCAAAACGACAATGAACAGGCAAGTATGAAATGAATGACTTCTCATATCCAAACCACAGGGTGACGTCCAAACAGTTCTTGATTAACGGCAAAAGCCTCAGATCAAACCGTAAGGGATTCCGGGGTCCGGGGTGCTGTGGATGGATGTGCCCACGAGCCAAGACCCGCCTCCCACAACGACCCGCCACGTGGGGCTGACGGGCTACACATGGAGACAGCGAGGGCGGTGGGGGAGCTGGAGCTCGGAGGGCCTGTCCCCAGTGGGGGACAGCAGTGTCCGCTGCCTGGCTGCACCACCCCTTTAAGACCCCCGGCTCCCCTCGTCCTGACTGGGGGTGCAGGCCGGCCCTGACACTTCTTGCCACCATCGGTTTTGTCCTCTGCTCATTTTAGATTTCCCGGGGCCTCTACAGAAGGGATTCAAAGGGAGGTGACCTGCAGAGTGGCCAGGCTTTGGCCTGGGGCTGCCTTGGCCAGGCTTTGAGTTGCCCGGCCCCTGCCTGAGGTCCCCCACCTCGCACGCCCCCCAGCCCCGACGCCAGTCCGCTCTCCATCCGCCTCTGTGCCTTTGCACGTACTGTTCCCCAAGCTGCCTCGTGAGCATCTTTAAGGTCCAGCGAAACCACCTCTCCCCTTGGCCAGTGAGAGCTAGTTGCTCAGTGTGGCCTGGACACTTGGTTTGTCCCTCTGTTCTGTCACCACTTTGTCCCTTGGTCAAGGCTCCAGATCCCTGCTTGTGGTGAGAGGCTTGGGGTACACAGGGGAGAAAGGTTAGGGAGTGCATCACCCCTTCTCCTCTGCTCTCCACCCAGCCATCTGCCTCTTCATGCTCTTTCCACTTTTACCCCAGTTTCCACCAGTGTAAGGGGAAAAGGCAAACAGCCAAGTGTAATCTGGACTTTCTTCTAAATGCCAGTGCTGCAGATGCCATTGATCCAGAACATCCATTAGTCTGTCCATCCATCTATCTTCCATTCATCCATAATCATCCATCCATCATCTGCTCATCATCCATCCATTCAGCAGCCTATCTGTCTATCCATCCATTATCCATCCATCCAAAATTGACTGTGCATCCATGACCTACTCATCCATCCATCCATCGATCCATCTGTATGCAATGTTGTACTGGGTGCACCCAGGAGGTAGTGAGCAGCCCGTCCAAGGAAGTGTCCAGAAGGAGCCAGTTGGTTAAGGAAAGGCTGGACTGATCAGTGGCTGCAGCCGAATCCCCTGGAGGAGCTCGTTTAAAATCTGGCTCCCTGTGCCACCCCTGACCTGTGTGGTCAGGACCTCCAGAGCTGGGACGTGGACAGCCACTTCTCTCACAAGCTGCCGGGGGTTCCTGGTGCAGGTCGCAGTCTGAGAGGAGCTGTACAAGGCCTCACCCACCCGTCCGTCCTTCAGATGCTCAGAAACATCAGTGGAACAAATGAATTTATGAAGCATTGACGGAAGGAAGTTCGGGGTCCCTGTCAGGCACTGGGTCCTCCTTTCCCCGCCTCTGGACAGACTCTCCAGTCCCCCGACCTGCGTTGGTCTGTGAGTCTTAAAGTTGGGGTGCTCTGCCTCATTGGTGGGGTCCTCACCTTGTTTCAGGGGTGTCTGAAGCTGCAGGGGGTGAACACAGCTTTTTTTGCCAGCTTTCCCTCTGTTTTGCCAGCTTTCCCCAGGAATAAGTTTGTAAAACCCGATTTTTATACCGACAACAGATACTCAAACGTTATGAAGCATAATGCACAACTTGCGTGAGTTTTAAAGATAAGACGAGAGACTTCAAAGGCGTTCCAAGCTCGCAGTGGGCCCTGCAGGATGTGTGCCCAAACCCCAGG